GGAATAGGTTGTCTGGCCTCTCTGCCTAAAAAGTCGACATGCAAAAGAATTAGAAGGCATACTCGGACAACGTCGACGTCATCCATCCGAGTAAAACCATCTTTCTTATTCAATAATATCGTCATGTCTTCCACGTGTAGATTCGGCCTCTCCAGCTCAGGAAAAACCCGGGATAACCATGATGGGCGGGTAATGTGTCTAGTGTACCGACCTACATCATCGTGTCCGAAGCGTAGATCGGTGATTAAGCAAAACTCCTCCCGCCCAAAACACGTATACGCCGGTGGAAAATCAAACCATATCTCTTCATCACGACGTTGTATAGTATCTGGTAGATCCCTAGTCATGGTTTGAAGAAATAGGTGTGTCAACATCGCATCTCCACCGGGATGTTGTACTTTCAGCCATGGCCCGAAGCAAGTATCCTCAAACATTTTTCTTTGTGCAGGTGAAAGCTTCGACGCAATTGTTTTGGCCAGGCTGACTTTATTTCTTAAGGTTAATTGAGCCGAATAAAAGTTCTACAAAAACAATAAACATACTAAGTTAGATATACCAAAAACTACACTGTGAAGATATACCAAAAACAATAATAAACATAAAGAGTAGTAGTTTATTCTTCAAACTTAAATTTGCAACACTGTGAATTTCTTATTTGTCTTTGTTTTTTGGTTGAAGTAATGCAATTCATTCAAGTTTCAATTTGCAGAAGAAGAATAATTTCTGAAAATGAAAATCGCAACACGAAAATGACTATCACAACGAGAGAATCGCAACGCGAAACTAAAATCGCGTTGCGATTTTCATTTCGCGTTGCGATTCTCGGTTGATTTAATAAGCAATCTAAGTGAAATGGTTAATCTATTATTGAAATTACCAGTAAACTTATCATCAATTTCAATATGAAAAACCTAATAATAATGCAAAAATTTCAAAAAGAAAATAATTAAAAAAACTAACCCTCGTTGGTTGATTTGGTTGATTTTCCATTTCTGATTGTGAGGGTGGCTTTGAGAGATGGAGATAGACGGATTTCGCCGGAGATGGGGACGAATTTCGTCGGAGATGGGTGAGAGAGTGAGAGATGGAGATGGGACTGAGTTGTGATTTTAGGTTTTAGGTTATGAGTTGCGATTACGAGATATACTGTGGACGGTTCAGTGTTCCAATATATTAATATTCGTGTTTGGAATTTAAAAATAAAATACTTGGCCAGGATACTAATGGCGCTTTGAAAATCGCATTGCGATTATGTATTATCGCGTTGCGAAAGTCAGAATCGCGTTGCGAAAGTCAGTATCGAGTTGCGAAAGTAAGTATCTCGTTGCGATTTTGTATTATCGCATTGCGATTTTCCCAATTCGCGTTGCGATTTACTTATTCGCATTGCGAATTGGGAAAATCGCAACGACACTGTAGACCATCGCAACGCGATTTTCAACTATCGCATTGCGAAAATGCAACGCGAATTTACGATAATGGAGATCGCGTTGCGAATTAGCGATCGCATTGCGATTTTGTTGGTCATTTTGGCAAATCCGGAAAAAGTTGGTTAAAATCGTATATTATATGGGATTTTTGGTCACTGAGGTTATTTTCTCTTGATTAAATATATAAGTACGAGTTGGTTCAGAAAAAAATTTGAACTCATACTTCAAATCAAATCAAAATTAAACAAACATAAAATATATAATCTTATGTATAAATTTAACTTAATTTAACCCATAGACACATTTATCATAAAGAGATTTGTCAAATAATTTCACTTTATATTATTATATGCTGGACGTGAAGTGATTGCGGAGGGAGTTTGTGAAGATAGTTAGGCTAGAGCTAGTGAAACACGCCTACTTGAACTGTTAACAATGAACTCATCACGTTAATTGGGCTCTATCCCAATCACTTCACGTAAAAAAAATTAATGAATCAGAACCGGCCGTACAGACTTTGGTCCCAGCAATCAACTCGTAATCGTTGATGACAAATTTCGTGCGCCACTTTTGCAATCTCCTGACAAGTCTACCCGTCCGATGCTGCATGAAGAATAATGTAATTATTATAGGTTAATAACTATTACCACTCCGCTCCTGCAGTAGATCTAAACCGGATGGTTGCTTGCATCTGTGAAGAAATAAGTTTTTGTCTTAAAATTCCACAAAGGTAAAAATTCAGGTAAGGGAAAAAGATGAAACAAAATAGTCAGAATCCCAAATTTGTAAATCCCATACCCATTAGGATCTTTAGAGCTTCCGTCATGGATTCCTTGAGAGAACCATATCATAAGGGGAAAAAATAAAACCAATAAACCATGTGATCCAAAGAATTATATATTTTTTTAACTCAATTCTTAAAAATCTCTATTACATAGGCAACAGGAAAGTACCCTTTTCCCTTTTATATTGAACTGAAAAAGCGTTATACTTAGTTACGGAACTTGGTAATAGAATTTCGGAGGAGTCAAATTCAAATTTTAAAAAATTCAGAGGTTTAAATTAAATTTTTGAAGGGTTTAATTTACATTTTTTCTTCTAAAAATTAGGGTTTAACTAAAATTTTTGGGTGGGTTCAAATATCGATATTATAATATATCTTTACTTAATAAAAAATTGGTTGCCTCAAAAAAATATGTATATTACTTTTGAATTTAGAAATTAATTAAATATTATTTATTTAAAACAATTAATATCCATTTTCTTTTGTCATTTTTATTTTAAAATATAGAAAATTATGAAATTTTCCCTCTTTGGTTGTTCATCTTCTTTAAGTTAATGACTTCAATAAAATTATAAAGCGTTTCATATCAGTTGAAGATAAATTTATTTAAAATATTTTTTAATTCAATAAATATTTATGAGTTTATTTTAAATATATATATTTATGACGGGAGTTCACGAATTTTAACTTTTAAAAAAGTTTACATATACACGCATGCATATATATATATATATATATATATATATATATATATATGCCTATGCACACTCCTCATATGTCTCTGGTTGTTGAGGTTAAAAGTGTTAATCTTTCGTTTATATAACGTGATCTTAAGTTACGTAAGTCAATTAGAAATATCCAATTAATAAACGAGGTGAAATTTGACTTGAGTACATGTCCATATCAAATATATTATTCTAATTATCTATTTTCTTGAGAAAAACACGATAGTCGTTATTAATATTATTGGTTTGTTCAAAAAAAAATTAATGCCCCCTAAAAAATAATGTTTAGTTCTGCCAATGACTGTCAAATTTAATAATTTATTATACATGTCTCTTGAGGGGGAAATTTAATATTTTAATATATATATATATATACATTATGTATTAAATACCTATATATGTATTTTTTTAATATTTTGGGAGGAGGCCATGGCCTCCACTAGTTTTAAGGGCATTATGCCCCTGATTATACTATTAGATTGCTCATAATCTCCTCAGGATAGGGGCCTACTAACAAACATCTGTAAATGGCACTAAGAATATCGAACTCTAAGAGCTTTAAAAAAAGGGAAGAAAAGTCACCAATTCAGCAAGAACGAAATATTAGAAAAGAAGAAAAACTTACATTAGGGATCAGAGATTCATTGTTTCTAAGGAGAAATTTTCAACTTTAGGGCAACCAGATCTGTAAATGCCTTCCTTGACCATACAGTAACTACTTGGTGGTTTAAAGAGAAACTGCTTCCCCTCGCTTTCATCTTCACCAGTAGTGGTGCTCCTCTTTTTTCATAGATTTATGGTTTAAGAATGACTGAACCTTCTTTACTATATATACATGACGGTTATTCTTGTTATCTTTCTCTCTTTCTTTCTTTTTTATAAAATTAAGGTTAAACTATACGAGAATTTTTAAACTAACTTTAATATTTTAATTAAAAAAATTTCAACCAATCAGGTGACACGTGACACCAAGTGTTTAAAGGGAAAATATATTTATATAATTTAAAACAAAATGTATAAAATATTTTGGCAATCTCGTAACAAACGGTATCCCTAGGTACGCCTCAGCCACTGCAACAGCCCATCTAATTGTTATGAGATTTGCCAAAATATTTTATATATTTTGTTTTAAATTGTGACATAACAAAAGAAAATAAAAAGGAACCGATAGGATTCGAACCCAAAACTCTAGTTTGGAGAGGAAGCACTCTAACGACAAAGAGAAATCAGTGATATTTTGTTATTGATGAACATTGTAGATGATAAGATAAAAAAAATTGATGCAACAATGCTTTAGCACCTTGTAGCCGTACCATTTGTTGATGAAGAGTCAAATTTTTCAAGAAACTCATTCCTTGTCTGAGTGCTTGCAATGAGGAAAGCTTTAAGCTTTTCTAGACATAATATTACTAGTGCTACAATGTTTTAAGGGTCTTTATATCCATTAGAGGTTTTTCAATATGAAATGAAGTAATGTGATCTTACGGTTGCTGTTTTTTTGGTCTCGGTTCTCCTTTCGGTCGACGTTCACCGCTAATGTTTATCATAATCGACAGTAGTGCAGTCATTATCGCGATAAACAGAACCAGGATAAGCAGCTTCATATGAGGTTCTGTCCCATTTTGCTACTTTGTATATAGCAATCATTGCTATCTTTTCTTGCCCTTCTCCTGATGAAGCTGTCTGTATATCAATGGCCTGCTCATAAAAGATGAATTCACACACTTCGTCTTGAATTTCATCCTTTATAGTGATAAACAGAACCGCGGTAGCCAACTTTTCTGGCCATTATCTGTCTAAATAGCAGGCCATTTACATGTCATATCAGGAAATGCAAATAAATCAAACAAAAATGGTTGACAAGTAACATTACTCCTCAAGAAAATGCACTTGTAAATCAGGTGAAGCTCTAAGGATAAATACGTTAAGGTAATGTTTCAGTTCCTAGCAATGTGCATTTATGATAGAAACTTGCAGAGATTTTACTTTCCTGGGGTTCAATTTTCCTTCTTGTAAGCTACCGATTCGATGCTGTAATTCCCGTTAACCGCAATATTGTCAAGCAGCCACCATATCTTAATTTAAAGAAAGAATATACAGTGAAGGCAGAAGTAGCCATGATCATCATCATTAAAAAAGTTTTAACTCATACAAACAGAAATATTGTGCTTCAAAGAAAAAGCATGCAGTGTATTGAAGACATCATCATTAATTTAAGCAATAATGGATTGCAGACTTTAATACTCTGAGCCATGCATCTATAACTTAGGGGCAGGAAGAGCGCGAGGACTGTCCCAGTCTGTCACAATGTGCTGACGGGTGATTTCTTTGAGGGAACGACAACCACTCAGCGCCATGGTTAGTTCAAACTCTTCACGCAGCATTGAAAGTACCTTCCTCACACCAGCTTCCCCCTCAGCAGCCAATGAGAACACCACTGGTCGTCCAATCTGAGATTTAATACCATTACAAAACTAGTCTTTACTCATAACTTTGCCATTTAGTATAAAAGCTGACAACTATTGTGCTGAAATGCTATGTGTGATTCCTTTCCATGAGGTAGTCTTAATACTTACAAATATGCCAGAGGCTCCCAGTGCTAATGCTTTGAAAACGTCAGTTCCACGCCTAACACCACCATCCAAGAAGACAGGTACTCGGCCTTGTGCAGCCTTCACAACCTGGAATTGAGGAATTTGTCAAGCATGTTGTTTTGGTATTGTTGTCTCATGTTAGAAAAATCTGAAAGCATCGGCTACCTCTTCCAGGGCCATGATAGTGGCAGGAACGTAATCAAGCTGGCGAGCTCCGTGGTTGGAGACAATGATACCAGCTGCTCCAGCCTGTACCGCTATCCTTGCTGCAAGAGAAGCAAAGGAAGTTTAAAAATCGGCATATATTATCGAAACAGTCCAAGAAGAAGAGAAATTAATTCAACTTTTCTTACCGTCTTCAGCAGTGAGTACACCTTTCACAAGAATTGGCAAGCTGGTAATTGTTTGAAGCCATTTCACATCCTATACATAGCCAAAAGATATTTATTCAGTGCACTGTTAACTGAAAGAATCTTTAGACATAACCAAACCATAATAAGGTCATTGTTTAAGTTGCAAATATCTGCAACAGCATATGCAATTACGGTTGCCATTACTACTACAATGGATTGAAGAACGTAAGCTAAACTTCTTGATCAGTGAACTACAGATAAATTATGTAAATTAGTCATAACATTTCATCATTCAAAAGCCTCAGATGAATTTTAAATATAAAAAACTATCTCTAGACATCATGAGCTTTTTTAGCATATTCTAGTCTACATTCCCTTAAACATGATCATTGTAATGAGAAAGCTCAAGCATGGTTTCTATTCACAACATTCAATATGGATTATAGATCAACAAAAAACTCTTCTGATGGACTCATGCATATATATATATACACCTTCCAGCTGAGGGTTCGATCAATTTGTCCACCAACATATGATGCGAGTCCTGAGTCATCAGCCTGCATGGCTCAAAAGAACAAATTAAATATTAGATATAAGCTCATTATTGGAATTGAAAGATGACATTGTTGTTAACTAGGTTGATAACTGAACAATTAAGAAGTCCTACTCACTTTGTCCATCTTGCCAAGGTCTAGACCTTCAAAGTTCTTCAATGTCAAAAATGGGGGTAGAGTAAACCTGTAAGAGAATATTGAAATCGAATAATTCTGGGGTGCAACTCGACTTCATACAATCAGAACTAATCGTGACAATATATTTTGAAGAAAGCTTAAAGGAACATCGAGACTCTAAGGGAAATAATCCTACCTGTTCTTGATGTCAGCTTCTCTGCGACCTAGCCTCGGAGTATCAACTGTAAGAGCAATCGCTTTGAAACCGGCTTTTTCAGCTCTTCTCACAAGCTGTGCAACGACATTCCTGTCCCTGTAAACCTGAAGGTTGGACACAAGAGATCAGTTATCACATAATGCCTAAAAAATTTATCCCACGAGTGAATAGTAAGATTATACAATTGATTTTTAAAGAACATCATTTCAAACTTACATAGAGCTGGAAAAACCTGATGCCTGGTCCTGTTGAAGCAACCTCCTCAACACTAGAAGTGGCCCATGAGGATAATGTCTGAAATGATCATTTAAATAAAATAGCTTATTTTATCTTCAAATATGTATAAAACATTAACGATATGAAAGTTCATGCTTCCTACGAACAAATGTCTTTATAGGGTTAGTTCATGGATAAATATTTAAATGGAAAGTTGGAGTTTAAAGTAAAACCATAATTGTTCCAGCTGCTGATGCAGCCCTAGCCGTTGCATACTCTCCTGTCAAAAATGGAAGGATCTCTTCATTATACTATCTACCAAATTGCTTTACATGAAACTATGAAGGTTCATATTGTTTAATGATAAAAAGAAAAAAACTGATCAGATATGCACATGATGTATTGATCCAATTTCAACTCTTCCTGTAAATGCAATAAGATCTACAGTGAAAGAAGCTACAGTAAGGTTGTTAAACATAGCAATGTTCTTGAAGGAAGTGTTTCTGTAATAGTAAACAAAAACAATTCCACTTGAGGTTTTGTCTACTTGAGCATACATGTGCAAAGGAAAAGAAGGTGGCATGTTCTTGAATTGAGACAGTCTCATCCAATTATTTGGTTGTATTTACAATAAAGGAGGGTAATCCTTTAAAGTTCCATACCTTCAGGATGAGCCATTTTCTGCATGGCTGTAGGGGCAAGCATGATGGGCATTGATATCTTGAAACCCAAAACAGTGGTAGTCATATCTATCTTGCTTACATCAATGAGAATCCGAGGACGAAACCTAGGCATTGCAGAACAAAAGATTTCATCAAATGGATATCTAAATATTTTAAAACAGAAAGGAACAAAAATCTGAAGTTTTTTGTTTTTGCATTAAATGATGGACAGATTGCTCACAGGATCCTTGAGAAAGCATTTCTGTTCTCCTGCAATGTCCACTGGTCCTCAGCACCAGATGCGTAGTAGTCATACACCATCTTTGGCAACTTTTGCTTTGCAATTGCCTCATACTCACTCACATTAGTGATCTCCATCTTTGCTCTTAAATTTTAGTCTCCTGCCTGCATTTTTTCCCTCTACTAGTTAACTTTTTGGGGACAAAGCCAACATAATATAAAGCTCATGAGAACAACATTCCAAGCAGATGGTGGCTTAAAGCTAGAGCTATCTTAGACACTCTTCGAGGAAAACATGCAAACTCTCCTAATTTCGTATCTAAAGTACCTATTTACAAACTCTTATTATCTTGTATTTAGAAATTAAAAAATAGGATCTAAAATTTTAATATACTTGAGTATAAATTTATCATATTTTCTCTCTTCCCTTAACACATTAAACTATTTTTTATAATTTTATTAAAATAGTAGGGATGCACTTGCTCCTCTAGGGGCTTAATACATCCACCCTTGTCTCGTGTATAAAATTCCTATACAATCGGAGAATTCTAAAACATTAATCTATGTTACTCGTGTTAGTAAATAATATTGTTTCAAAAACAATAATGTTAATATCGACTAATAAAATAATAAAACGATTTATTATGTCGTAGTAGATATCACTTCAATCAACTCTAAAAATAGTACTCTCTAAATCCACTTCCACTATTTACATTACTCACAACTTGAACTTAGCTATCAGTGTTACGGATACTATTATAATCATAATTTTTTTCTTATATTTGTAAGATTAAATTCTCGTACTAGATCCTAATATATGTTAGATTGGTCAATTCGAATACTTCAAAAAAATATATACAAAGAGTCCACATAACATTAACAACACCGCCAGCTCTATAACCTAATACATATGCTTTATGTACAAGCAGTGGTTTTGCTATTAGGCCTTAAAATAAGGTAATTGAGTTTAGTCTGTTTCCTGTGAAACTAAGAACAAACTTAAGTCTAGTTTCTTTGTATTATGCCTTAAATAAGGTAATCTTGTTTAGTTTGTATTATCACACAAGCAAGCAGTGGAGGAAACGGGAAAGACAAAAACACAAACAAGTTCAGAACACAGAATCCTATAAACAAGTACATATCGATATGAGAAAAGTATTGAACCAGAAACACCAACATGAGAAAACATCATGTAAAGAGAATTACAGCAGAATCATTAACCTAAATCAACACGGAAAAAAACTAAAGGAGAAGAGATTGAACCAAAGAAGAAGAAAAGCATACCCTTAGGTTAATTACCAGACTATGCACCACAGTGCATGCAGAGAAACCAGTTAAAGAGATAAAACTCTACTATATATCTCAATGCAAGACAAACAACAGGGATTGGAAAATGAAGAAAACACCAAAGGGTTTATATATGAATTCGAAAGTTGACAAGAAAACAGTGGGGTACGTGGAAATGACACGTAGCATAGATAAACCATAGGGAAAAAAACAAGAGGGGAATTACAAGTTGAGTGGATGAGCATTTGGAGGTGAGAATTGGAGAGCAAATCCTGCTAAGAGTCATTGGGGAACTCTCGTCCACACACCCTTTGTGTGTTTCACAGCATTTCTTTGTGTATTATCATGTCTCATCCATAAATAAGAGGATAGGAAGGCTGAATGTATATGAAAAACAATTGAGAAAAAAAATTGTTGAAAATTGAAAGTGACAATAGTGGCTATCCTTCGATCTATCACTATGAAATCTCAATGCTAAAGTTTCATATTGATTTTTGGCTTAATATCTGGTTTGCCCCCTAAACTATAAATAAAGTCTCAGTTTGACCCTTCAAGATTTTTATTATTACCCGTGACAACGTGCGATTGAATTACACAGTATATTTATAATGGAAAATTAATAAAGAATAACGTAATAAACAGAATAAAAGTACATGACACAAATTGAAGAAAAAACTTTGAGGGATTAGATTGGAAATGCATGTATAGGACAAGGGCAAACCCGATACTAGACAAGATTTTATCAGTTGCCCTTAAATTTGGGCCAAATTCTAGGGCCTGACCAACCAAAACCCAACGGAAGTCCAAAGAAACAAAAGCAAACCAACTTTACAAAGGATCCAATGAAAATAGATAAAGTATATTTGATGTCATTAAGCTATAATTAAATGAATATTTTGATTCGATATACTTTTAAAAGTTATAAAATAATCATTAAATTTATCAAATTATTAGAAAATGATTAATATAATATTTTAATAATTATAAAAAATCAATAAATTTAATGATCATTTTATAACAGTTTAATAAAATTTAATGACTATTTTATAAAAATGAAAATACCCATAAGCCGAACACGTTTCAAGCAAGACTAGTTTACTCACCGATGAATCCAAGTTTGCATGAGGATGTACAAATGTCCCCGAATTTTCTTTTGTTAATTGTTTATTTTATTGATTGTGCCTACTTTGAGATTTTATTTGTGTCCATTAGAGATGTGCATTTTTGGATATCAGATATTATTTGATCCGAAATTTTGGATATCCAAAAATTTGGATCGCTAAAATCGTGAATCGTATCTGATCCGAAAACATCATATCAGACCCGCTGTTGAGATGGTATTTGCCTGGCGAAAAACAAAGTGTACACACAAGTGTCGTTGTCTCGAAAAAAATAAGTATTTATCTTCTAGCATAAGATAAAACACAAATTTGAGGAGTCGCCACCAATCATTTGTCGAGGTGTGATTGGTCACAAAAAATGCTATGTTAATTTAATAAAATTCATAAGAATAATATTAAAATAACAAAAAGGATTTGTTTACCAGAAAATGAGTTCAGGAGTCAGATACGTGTGGGGAAGGATTAGCACCCCCACAACGCCCAAAATTGGTACATTGTTTATTAATTAATTATCTTTGCAGTAAATTAACAAAATTGTATTTAAATTTATGATCCCTAAAAATACATTAGGGATATTATTTTATACCAACAAATCATTTAAAATACTTTCCTAATTAGTTAAGGAAATATTTTATGGTTTATTGTATAAAATAAAATAACCCGAGTACATGTAATAAATTTAATGATTAAAACGTGAAAATATCAAAATCCTAGGTTACTACTGCAAATATTACATATTTTAGATACTAAAAGTGCAAATAATCCCAATAATATTAAATATTAAAATTACAGGTATTAAATTTTAAAATATCAAAGTTAATGAACATATATCGAAATATCATGAAATATGGGTATAAACAATGTAATTTACCCTAAAATATATAAACATATTGGCATGGACTAAAACATAATAAAATAAAACTTGAAAACCAAATTAAAATGCGTAAAAACCTGATTAAGTGACCAAAATGGAAGGATTACAAAATTAGAGGGATTACAGATGGGGTTTACCCATTCGCTAATTACACAGAAGTCCCCTCCCCAAAACGACGTCGTTCGGGGAGGGGTATAAATTCCCCTAAAACCGGCCATTAAGGCCTTCAACCCTTCATTTTTCAATTTCCTTTTCTCTCTAAAGAGAGAGAAGTTCTCGTTTCTTTCTAAAGTCCCACACCAGAGGAACAACTTGCCACCAGCCGTCCACTGTCTGTCGGCGTCAATAGCCGGAATTTCATAAACTTACCCAAATCGAAGCCTCTCTTGTTCTAAACCCAAAATTGAGCTTTCTCTTTCCCAAAAACTAGTCAATCGGACTAGATCTAAGTATTTACCTTTGAAATATTCAGCTTTTCGACGACGTTTCGAAGGCCTATGACGATGGTAAGTGTTCTTTTTTTCTCTTATTTCTTTTGACGTTGTTGTGTTGCTTGTTGTGGATCGTTGTGTTAGTCTCTATTATTTTGTTGCTCTCTGTTCCTTTCAGTTTTCTCTCTGTCTGTCTCTCCGTGTCTCTCCTTTGCTTGCAGGATCGGTCCTATTTATGGGACCCGTGGTGCTACTTGTAATGATGAAATCAGATGAGTCATCGGACCTACGGTGGTGACTCACCCTAGGGACGATGAATTGTGCGGTCGATATACTTCTTCTGGATTCTTCTGGTGAGGCAGTGGTGGCGTGGCAACGGTTGGTGGGAGCAATTGGAGGCGTCGGCCAAAATAGCCCCTAGGGTTGTAATGAAACCCTAGGGTTTATGCTGGACAAATCTGAGCTATTAGATCTCCTTCGATCGGACGGTGGAGATGAACTGACGACTGGAGTTGTATGGAAATCCTAGCAGAAAAACCTAAACGGGTTTTGGGTCTACTGGGTTATCCGAGCTTGTCTCGGGATGTTGGGCCTGGTACGGGTTGAATTTTGTAAAATGGCTCCAGGTTTTGTAATAATAATAATAAATAAATATAATAAATAGGAATATAATAATATTATATAATATAATTTCGGACAAAAATGACTAACGACACCCGTCCATTGACAAGTGTAGTTTGTGATATGTCATAGGCCTCAAAATTTAGGGACCCACCCTTTAAAAAAAACTACTAACCTAGAAGAAAATACTTTTTTCATGGAAAAATTTAACAAAAAAAAAACATTTTATTTTTCTCTCTTATTATCTCAAGAATTCAATTGTGATCAAATTTTCTTTAAAAAATCATCAAATTTATGGTGTTTAATAAACACAAAAATATTCTTATTTATGTCCATCCTAGTTTCAATCTTCTTAAATTTTGATATTTTATAATTTCATCTTACTATAAAATATTTCAGAGGTCTTATTTTAAAAAAATAGCACAAGACCTATATATCTTTTGGGCCGAACCTGCATCGGATATCCGAAATTTTGAATCAAATATATGAATATCTGATCGAAATATAAATTTTAATTAGATAAAAAAAATTCAAATTCAATATTTTATGATTTTATATAATGTATTCTATACCTCTGTAATATATTTTTATGAACACATACTTGAACAATTTCAACGCAACTCCTTGAAAGAGTCACGTTGTGAAGTAACCTTGCTTATCTCTCTGTCGTACATATTTCCTCATTAATTAATAGCATAAATTTCATGCTCTTAAGAAAGTATTCTTATTGATGCATGCGATTTGAGCAGAGCAAGGAGCAAAGGATAATGTGTATTCACTTTGTGCAAAATCTGTAATGCAAGGTTTAAGGCTGGGCATTACAGGTTAGGTGCGGGCTGACTAGGATCATTGGGCTTGGATAAAATATTTTAAAGGATAATTCTTTTATCAGATTTTCAGATAATATAAATTTTAACTTTAGTTGATTCGTATCAGATCCGATTATCCGCTTTTTTAGATATCCAATTCGAACTATCTAAAATTAAAAAATAGATAAGATATATGAATTTTTAGATTGGATTAACGGATCAAATCAGATTGAATTTTCTTACACACTTCTAGTGTCCACCCACAAACAAATATCTTATGTTGTTAATATACGTGTATTTATCCTTAAAAAAAAATGGATCCACTTTGAGTTTATTATAACCTTTAATCGTCAATGGACATGTGGCTTCATGACCCATTTGTGCATCCCTCATCGGTGGTAGATATAGGCTTTGCTTATGGTGGGTACATTCTCATTATGAAATTTGATTTTTTATGTTAATTTGTTCATTTCACAAATATTGTACATCTTGAAAATTTATGTGTCCCACCTATATAAAAAAATTATGTTATTAATATAGGATAAAGCATACAAATGGTCTTCTAACTATAAGATATTACATTGTTGAGTCCACCGATTATTAAAAGTTATAAAATGGTCCCTCAGTTATTAAAAGTTACAAAGTAGTCACTACTCATTATGTTCCAAACTCGTCATTTTTCGTTTAAAAATTAACGGTTGTCTGAGTTGGACGTTAACATGCCAATAGAGATATAATAGTCGTTTGAGATTATGATTTATGAGATCAAACTTTATCATATCTCAATCAGTAGGTTAACGTCAAACTCAAACAACCGTTAATTTTTTAGCGGAAAATGATGAGTTCATAACATAATGAAAGTCGGGTGACTACTTTGTAACTTTTAATAGTCGAGAGACTCAACATAGCAACTCCTTTTAATCGGAGATTCAACAAAACAATATCCTATAGTCAATGGATCATTTGTGTATTTTACCCATGAATATATATATGTAACGTTGAATACATGGATGATGTTTGGCCTCACATGTCTCCTGTGCGACTGCTCCCTTCCAATCCTTATAACAAAGCCAATGCCTTGTTCTCGGCACACTACGTAGACAAAAAGGATAACAACATACGCCTTATTATATCAGCTAGCTATGCATTAGAATATGGTTTTTAGACATTTTTGGTTTTAACATTGAATATGAAATGTTATGCACATATATCCCACTCTGAATTTGGTGAAGTCCAAGAAGCAGCAAAGAAAGACAAAATTGGGAACATGAAGGAGCTTGAAAGGGAGCTTGGAGACCAACCTTACTTTGAAGGTCACACGCGATCGAAGTCGCGTGAAAATGACTGGATATTTTTGGAATGGTGTTTGCTGACCTTTAGATTGTATCTTAATCTAACGCTTGATCTTCTCTTCAAAATGATGCCTTGTATTAGTGGTTGGATCAGCCTCATCTGACGGTTAATTTTTTCTTGCATTAAATCTGACCTTAATTCCCGCGTCATCATAAGCGATGCCCCTTGAACAGGCCATACAACGGTCGTAATTCAAGGAGACGGCTGCTAATAAGAACCTAGGGTTTCATAATATTAATACTTATGCTTAGGTCAACTTGTATTGGGCTTGGGTAATAAAAAGTGTAACTGAATTGGACTGTTTGGAAATGATTTAGGTTTTGTAACGTGGACTTATATTTTTAATAATGGATTTTATTTAGAAATTTGGGTTTCTTTCTAATAATGGTTTATTTATTAAAGGTAAAACTACTTCAGATGCCATTAAATTATTTTAGATTTTTTGTCTTTAATTTATATAATTAATTTAAAAGTTTTATAAATTAATTATGATTAGTTCTTCCTTTTTAAATAAATTAAATTACATAATGTTGTATCAGTGAGTAAGACATGATGTTTTAGTAAAGGTTGTTTTTAATTTTTTTATATTAATTTCAATTTTTTATAAGGTTGGGAAATCATCCATATATAGAATGTAATTGAGTCATGGTTTTTTTCACTGAAGTTTACGGTGTATTGATAATGTTAAACATATAAATTTTATTGACAATGATAATTTTTGTCTTTAAAGATGAAAAGTGGGCCAGTTTATTTTAAAATATCATGATATTTATTGAGATCTTTAAATTGTAATAAATAAAAGAAAATATGGAAAACCAGTGACAGATTTATATGATCAATGATGGACTAGAATTTTATGTTAGAAAGTGAATCTTTAAAATTTAAGATGATAAATTTATAAAATTTCAAAACAACAAAAATAAATTTTTAATATAAAATATAAAAAAATTAAAATATATAGTAATTTTAAATTTTAAAAAATGATAACTATTTTTATCCACTTCCTTCGATCTATCCGTATTAAGCACTAAAAGATCATAATTTGTATAGGACATAAATTCATGTGTTTATTGTCTCCTTATGTTAGTGGTTGTTTGACTTTCTCTGCTCATTTATTCATGTTTTAAATTATTTTAAATGATTTTTTTTGTTTCGATAAATATTTATTGTCTCATTTATGCTTTTGTCCAAAATGTGATAAAATCGATATGTTATAGGGATGGAGCAAGATCAAATATCGGGGGTAAGATACTTAAGATTAAAATAAAAAAATATTATGTATTTAATTTAAAAAATTAAAATGGATAAAAATTTAATTTTATTTAAATTTAAATTGATAAGAACTATTAAATCAAATATTTTGAAAGGGGCAAGAGTCCCTCCCTCTCTATAGATGTGTCCTTATTGTTTTACACTCTCAGCAGTGATGGTGTCATCTCATGCGGTTAGTGTCGATATTGATGCATGTTTTGATCCTTCTTGAAAAATTACAGAGAGTAAAAACATGAAAAATTCATGTCAGAAATTCTATAATAATCATTACAGTCACGATTTCGATTTTTTAATTGAGGTCTAAAAGATACGATTCCTTTTGAGTTGATATTTTATTAAGATTGGTGTTCAGATTATATGCAAAAAAAAAAAAAAAAAAGACTTCGTATCGTTTAGGTGTCTTTCCAAAGATACCATGTGAATATGTGACCCGGCTGTCTTTCCTTCCCTGTTCATTCCACCTATCTTATTATTTAAAAATATAATGTGAAAATTTTATAATTGTCGGTGGCCTATGAAGTCGACCGGTACTATAACGCATGTGGCCTATGAAGTCGACCGGTACTATAAAGCATGCAAGTGCATAATGTCACGGACTACCAGCAAAGGGCATGACAATAAGATAAAGCCAACCGGTACTGCCTCTTTCACTACTGAGCACTATTAACGCAAGGAATATCTTCTTGTGGAAAGTCCTTAGAACAATTATTACTATCAGTCCTAAACATAACCATTTCTTTTGCCTGTAAATATATGGCAGACAGCCCTTCAAAATATCTAAATCTAAACAAATCCTGAATATCCTTAAGACCAAATTCATCCTCAATTATAAATACGATTCAAAACTTACTTCTGCACCAGAAGTATAAGAATATAGCATTTAAAAAAATGATTATATAACTGATTAAATCAATTAAATTTAAAAAATTAATCGATGCACCGAGTATTCGCTCAGTATAGTTTGAGATTGTCAACCTACTTTAAATATTTTTTTTATTTGACATCGCTTTGAGTTGTTTATAAAATTTGATAAAATTTAAAGTATTTAATTGATTAAAATTTATATATATAATGATAATATTCGATTTTCAATATAGAGACAAAACGAAACATGCCAATAATAGATCAATTACGGGGCTCTACTACTACTCGATTGCCAACCCTACTTGGATGCCTTAATTTGCTTAAAGTTGTCCTTGCTTAATATTATTTTATCACATCACATACATATCACGTGCCATTCTCATATTCCAAAGCAAAACGTGCGTATATAATTTCAAAAGAAATTATTATCCTTAAAAAAAAAATTGGCGACCTAAATATAGCCGTAAAATTTGTTAATTAAATCTATGATGCTGCAAAGAAAGAACGATATATATATACAGATACCACTCACTAATCACCGGAGCTAAACAAACTAAAGTTTTTTTATTATAAAAACAACTAAAATTATGGATAAACCTAGAATCAAATAACATAATTGAGAAGTTTACAGATTAATATATTCGTTTTCTTTTGTTGGTGTCTACAATCAATCACTTGTGGTCAGTAAAGTCAATAGAAATACGTACTCAGTCCTAAGCATTGCTTTTGGCTATAAATTTATGGCCGACAGCCCTTCAAAAATACCAAAACCTAAAGAAACCCAATATTTTAGGTGGAGTATTGTGTTGAGTGTTTAGGTGGGAAGAATGTCAGGGGGAATAATATTGTTGGATTTCTGGGCAAGTATGTTCGGGATGAGAACCAGGATTGCTTTGGCCGAGAAAGCGGTAAAATACGAGTACAGGGAAGAAGATCTGTGGAACAAGAGTGATCTGCTGTTGGAGATGAACCCGGTTTACCAGAAAGTACCTGTTCTTATCCATAATGGCAAAGGTATCTGTGAATCACTCATTCAGCTCCACTACATCGACGAGGTCTATAATAATAGAGCTCCTTTGCTCCCTGCTAATGCTTACAAAAGGGCTAATGTTAGATTCTGGGCTGATTTTGTCGACAAGAAGGTAACGCCCTCTCTTGTTTTACTTGAACTTGGACTTATTATGATTCATGTTTTTTTTAATGAAATGTTGCAGATATATGACTCGGGTTCAAAATTATGGAAGACAAAGGGAGAAGAACTGGAAGCGGCAAAGAAGGAATTCTTAGAGAACATGAAATTGTTGGAAGGGGAGCTTGGGGACAAGCTTTACTTTGGAGGAAGCACAGGAAAGGATTTTGGGTACATGGATATTGCTTTTGTTACATTTTATAGCTGGTTTTATACCTACGAACAGTTTGGCAACTTCAGCATTGAAGCAGAGTGCCCCAAGCTGATTGCATGGGTTAAGAGGTGCATGCAAAAGGAGAGTGTTTCCAAGACCCTTCCTGACCCTCAAAAAGTCTATGAATTTGTCCTGGAGTTGCGGAAAAAATATGGGATTGAGTGATTTCAATTCTGGGATTCCAGATTCCAGGCTTTGCTTGTTACTATGATTTTTAAATAAATGGCCATTTAAGTGTGCCTGCATCTTCACTTTTGTTTCGTGTGGTCAATCTATATTTAGTTAATTCCAGTTGGCTGTGTGTATGGGATTGTCGTTTAAGATTTCTGAGTATTTGTTGTATATGTTGTAATATTTTCGTATCCTTGTTTTGTTGACATGTTTTAAAGTAATTTTCCATATTGATTAAATCATTTTGAATTATATGTATTTTGTTTTATTGAAATTAGTTGGCATGTAATTAAAGATTTAGATCAAGTGGGCTCTGATAGGTTTTGTAAAACCATATGTTTTATATAATAGAAAATTATTCTGTTTTATAATAAATGTCAAATGAAATTTTTAGTCACTAAGTAAAAGTAAATGCTTTGAAAAGTCAATGTGACATCTCAGACTCGGATCCGGGTCGGATGGGGTGTTACATGTTGGTAAAATAGACTGCAAAACTACACCGTTAGCATTGACTGAAAATATAAACAGTAATTAAAAGGAACAAATTCGTAAATCGTGTCGTGGTATAACTACTACCTTAGAAATGAATTCGCCCCGATGTGTGTAATCGTTGTAGTAGGCGGACCGTCCCCCAAGGTTAACACGATCGCTCCGAATTTCGTACACACGAAATCGGAGTGGACTGTCGGTAGTATTGCTCTTCTTATCAGAAAGCACACAGAGAGAATATTTAGAAAACACTTGGAGAGTAAATTCTGAATGTTGAGAGTAAGTTGAGAAGCTGAATATAACCCTCTATTTATAGATTAGAAATAGGGTTAAAATCGTCTATAAAATTTCAGGATTAAATCTCTTCTTTTGTAACAGCTGAAACGACTGATGAACCTGACTAAAAAATAGTCCAGGTTCATTGCATCATTATTCAACTATTATAACTCTCGAAATTATATCATGTAACCCCTGAATTATATCAAATAACTCCTGTAACTCCTGATATTAACAGCTTGTCTCCTCTGTACAAAACTGGAAATCAGTCCAGATACATCTTAACGTTTTTTATTTAATTTAGGAAAAACTGTTTAATTTCTGATAACTCTCATAAACCAGCTGTTATCATTTGAATTTAAACAGTCATCAGCAGCCTATAAATATCAGTTGAAATATTTCACATTTTTCCATTTGTTTCTTTCAAAGAGAAATTCCTCAAGAATTTTCTCTAAAAAGATAGTATCCGTACGGACGTGTCGAAGACACGTATTACCACGACCACGACCACGAGCAGAGCCGAGCCGAGTCGTACTGAGCCGAGACAAGACGGACGGCGGCGGTGCGCGAGAGTTCCCCTTGTTCTCTTTCACTCAACAAGGAAGTGAGAAATCCAAACCATAAATATCCATTCCCAATAGTATTTCCAATACTATGTGGGATTGAGCATTATCAACATTCCCCCACTAATGCGAAAAAATTCTTCTGAAACTCGAAAACAAACTTTCCAGGAGAGCAATAGCGAGATTAGTTGCTTAAGCACTAGTGAATGTATCTGGAACTAGTACATAGTGATAATAAGCAATCATTCTCTTAGATAAGTGAAACTAGTCTGGAACTTTCTAAGATGAGGGTAAACTCATAACACACAACTAACCCCTTCATCCACCTGAGTCCTCGATGTGTAAGATATATATATATATATATATATATATACAAAAGTATATATTTGGCCATCTTACCTCAGGATTCTAGTAAGTGTGCTAGAAAAATGGCCCAACATTTTTCATAGAAGGCGGCTAACCCTTCTCACTTACATAGGTTATTTCATCAAGTTTATCTCGATATAAACCACCATTAACAGGGATATTAAATAATTAAGAGCTTTTATAAAAGCTCAACCTCACAAAGAGTATGGTGACTTTCTTCAAGTTCATTATAATTGAACCACCCAAACTCTGGACTAAAAAAGTCATTAAGAATAAATATTCAACCTTATTTATCGGTAAATTTAATAAGTCCTTCTCACTAGAACCATCCAAATACTTGGATTTGAATTTATTAAGAGTTTAACAAACTCAACCTTTCTGTTGGTAAGTTCATTATTTCCTTCTCACTTAGGAATATTGTTGAACTATGTTTCGATATAACAATTTAAAGCAAAATGGTTTTTGGACTTGAATTGAATTTAAAAAATGTTTTTGGACTTAATTGAATTTATTCAAAGTTTTTAAAAGGTTTCAAAAATAATTCAAAATCAATTAAAATTCGGATTTGAGCCAAAAATATTTTAAGGGGTTTCAAGATTGCCCAGGGGGTATAGATTCCCCCCAGGGGGTACAGATACCCCGGGTACAGATACCCCCCCCAGGGGGTACAGATACCCCCTGCAGGTTTTTGCCTCTGAGAAAAACAGAATGTCCAGGGGGTACCGATTCCCCCCCTGTTCAACAGCCCAACGGTCATAATATTTGAATATTATGAAGGGGTATCGATTCCCTATGAAGGGGTACCGATTCCCTCTATTCTGGGCAACCATTTTGAGTATAAAAATCATCCCCAAACGGCTCCAAAACATCCCCAACGGCTATATACGACTTCAAACTCATTCCAAGCTATAAATACAAGCTGAGGACACTTGAAGAAGTAAGAGAACAACTATCCAAGCAATCAAACACAAGAGAAGAATTTTTCATTCTTATTTCATCTTTCTCTTGTATATATTTTTGTTCTTGTGAGCTCAATCTTGTAAACACCTACCTTAGAGAGGTTTTATTGTTTACTTATTTTATCCTTTTGTAAAGGGGAAAGGTTCTAGCTTATCCCGTGTAAAAGCTAGGGAAAGGTTCTAGTTTAGCCCGGAAAAACTAGGGAGTTTGTAAGGTTACTCTTTATCCTCAAAAGAAAGAACAAATTAGTGAATTTGTTGGAAAATCCTTGGTGAGGAGCTAAGGTAGTGGACGTAGACTTTGTTTGAGAAAGTCGAACCACTATAAATCGCTGTGCAATTCTCTATCTTTCAATCTCCTTACTCCCTAAACACAAAACCGTTCCGACCCCTCTTTGCAAATCGTTCCGGTTGTCGTTTCGAGCTTCGAAAAATCCTAACAATTGGCATCAGAGCCTAACTCATTAAGAAGGTTTAACCACCTTGAGACGATCCTCGAAGAAGCTCTACCAATTCCCGACACGACCGAGAAGATGGCTTCCACCTCCGGTGCTTATTATCTTGAAGAATATCCTATTATGGATTCACAACCGGTCAACAAGCCACCTTTCTTCAATGGAGCAAATTATGCACATTGGAAGAATAAGATGATGTACTTCATTCAATCATACAATCTAGGAGCTTGGTACTCAATCATGGACGGTTACTCCTTTCTACCCGGCAAGTACAACGATTGGAGTAGAGAAGAGCAGAAAAATTTTCAGCTTAATTCTAAGGCTATACATATTCTATTTTGTGTGCTTTAGGCCCAAATGAATATGGAAGAGTCTCATCTTGTTCCAGTGCCAAAGAAATTTGGGATAAGCTCCAAGTCACTCATGAAGGAACCGACGAAGTGAGGGAATTAAAGAAAATTCGTCTCAACCATAGCTACGAGAACTTCAAGATGAAACCCGATGAAGACATCAAAGCTATGACGGATAGATTTTCTATGATTATCAACGGTCTCAAGGGATATGGAGAAGTAATCCCAAATGAGAAGCTTGTGAGGAAGATGATTTACTCTCTTCCAAAGGAGTGGCAATCAAAGAAGACGGCCATTATCGAAGCAAGAAACCTAAAGTCTCTCACTCTCGACGAGCTAATTGGTTCCCTTCTCACTCATGAGATGATGGTGAAGGAAGATGAAGAAAGGGAAGAGAAGAAAAACAAGAAGAAGAAGAAGAAGAAGAAGAAGAATGAGGACGTATGCATCAATGAAAGCTATCAAGATTCAAGTGATGAGGTTGATGAAGACGATGATGAAGATGAAGTAGTCAACCTATGCCTCATGGCCACTCATGAAGAAGTTGAGGTATCTTCTAACTCAAATGAATTTAATTCATTTACTTTTGATGAGTTACAAGATGCTTATAATAGGTTGTATTTGGGATTTGAGACCATGAATTCCAAATATATACGAAATTAATTTCAAAACTCAAAATTAAAGATAATTTGATTTTGAAAGCAAAAGTTGATTTTGAAAATCAAAATCAAATTTTGAAAAATGATTTAGAGCTTTCAAAAATCAAAATAAATGATTTAGAAAGAAAATTTTGAGTTAGAAGTTAAGCTTGAAGGCTTAACAAAAGAAAAAGAATTAATTTCTAAAAATAACCTATTATGTGTAAAAATGGAAAAATGCTCACATTGCCATTTTCATGGTCATTTGGAACATACTTGTCCTTTGAAGAAAGGAAAACATTTTAAAATTAGACAAGTATGGGTTCCGAAAGGAACAAGGGGCATTGAAACTAACGTCCAAGGATCCAAAGCAATTTGGATACCAAAATCGAAATGAATGTCTCTTGTAGGTGTGTGTGAGCAATGGTGATGAAGATGATGATATTCAAGATGCTCTAGCCACACATGAAAAAGGAATGGGTAACCTCTAAGCTTAATGCTTTTAATTTTGGTTATTTGGTTGCTAATTTAATTTTAAGCATGCATGAGTTTTGATTTTAAGTAATTATGTATTATTTTTAATCTCATGTATGTTAAAAAGAAATTATGATGAACATTTTAATGTCTTAATAATTTTTCAAAATTTTTAGTTCATCATAATAAATTTTGGTCAAAATTGGTTGTAATGCAATTGATATCTCTCTAACAATTGATATCAATTTTTCAAATACTTTGATTTTACAAATTTTAAAAATTTTTGACCTAAATTTGAATGTTTATGCATGTGGTTTAAATGAAAATGATATCTCTCTAACAATTGATATCAAAATTTTCAAATGCATAACATTTTTGGAAAACTTTATGCATATGCACTTAATTTTAACAATTGGTATTAATATCAAATTTCAACAATTGGTATTGCATAAAGTATTTTAGACTTGGATATATTGAATTTCATGTGCCTCTAACATGTTTGTTATTATT